AAAAAAATTATAAAACAGCTTTAAAATGAATTCTGAAGAGAATTTTTCGTGGCGTCTGTATGTACGTATCTCGCATAACTCAAAAACAAGTAGCCTCAAGAACGTTGAAATTTTGTATATAGGACTGCTATAACATGTAGATGTGCACCTCGTATTTTGGTTGCAATCGGCCGCACCAAACGTATATAAATATATACATATATCCACTCTGTCACTCGGCTCAGTGATCTCAGTTTCTTTACTCTTATATATTTGTAAATTGTACCGTTTTTGCTTTAAAACTGATTGAATTATGTTGTTCTTATCTTCCGGTTAAGGTTTTTATGCCTTTCGTAAATCTGGAAGCAATATTTGTACAATTATCAGCAATTTAAAAGCTGTTTAAGTGCGGCTAAGTTTTAAATAACACGGCGGACATATTTGTTTACATTTGAAACAGCAGATTTGTTGCCAATCTAGAGAGACTAAGCTTCGCAACAAGAAAGATAACGCATTCATTTATTATTTCAAATTAAATCACGCTTAATCCTTACTGGAATTTTTTTGATGAAATAAGTGTTTAAGATTTACTTCAGAATTTTTTAATACAGATATTTTGAGTTTTTATGTATTTTTGCCTTGTCGCGAAGTGAGAACTGAATTAATTGAATGAGAAATACTAAATCGTCTGTGAAAAATTGCTTCTTTTTTGTTTGCTTAATTTCTTTTATACATCGTTCTAGCTTTATTATAGTATTTGAACAGAACATGTGGCAACGATTAGATAATTCTTCAAATGATATAAATTTTGTGCATTCTGAGTTATAATATGAACGAAATATTAAGTGAACCTAGCGCCTGAGTGTCGTTATGCTAAACAAATATAGTTAATTTTAAAGAGTGCGTTTATTCTATTGTGGTTTATGCGCTGTCGACGAAGTAGATTTAATTCAATCCAATAAGTTTAAATGAAATGCAAAGAAAAATGCGTATAATTTAATATTCCGTACAAGGAAGTGATGTGGTGTACACATCAGATGTGGTTCCACATCCCATCAGACTGAAAAATGTATGACTAGGAATCGTATTTTTTGCATCGCTATTAGAGAAAGATTACAGCGGTATGGTTCTATCTGTTGTTATTATACAGCTGTATGGTTCTATCTGTTGTTATCTGTTGTACATTACTTTCAATCTAACTGAACTGACATTGGATACTTCCGCTAATACAGAATAAAAGAAGTGTTTATAAATTTTAATGAAAATTACGGAAATTAATATCTTATCGTCCTACTTCATTCATTACTTAATACAAAATAAACGTATTCTTCTAGGAAAAATAACTTTTTCTCTAATCAGTTAAATTGCAGATTTCATAAAGTAGCATTTTAGAAATAAATAGTTTATTTTTTCTATTTTCCGCATTATCTATCTAAAATGCACCATATTCTTTCATTATCCACCACTGATAAATCTTAACTGTAAATGGATATGACTTTGACGATCATGAAATCGCTCTTCTCTTTTTTACCATTAAAAATAAAATAAAGGAAGGGATTGTTAGTTGGAAGATGATTCCTGCTTTGAAAGAAATTGCAAAAAGCTGAGATCAATCGGTGTCGGAACTGATAGTTTAGCTTCTAATTCTAGTTTATTTTTACTACTTTCCTCAGTTAGGGTTTGACTATTTATCCAAAGTATAACTAGCACACAAAATAAAAAATAATTAAAAACAACACTAAGGAAAAGGTTTTTAACAATATTTAAAAAATAATTTATAGCTATTAATATAAGCTAGGAATTTTAAAGTGGAAGTAGAAGCTGGAGACTAACGAGATAAGGAATGAAAGGTATACAGGGTGTATCAGTACAGCGGTGACAAACTTTCAGGTGGGATAGAGTACACCTAGAGACGATGGAAAATCACACAGCAGTGCAATGGTCGGAAACGCTTTCCTGGCACGGTAGTGATGGCACAAAACGGGAAAAAGGAATGACACAAACAGTGAGAGAAAGCGTGTTTTATTATGATTAGTACAGCAGAAACCCCCAAATTAGAACAAAAACAACGATCGTCATTAAAGAAGATGTTCGAAATTACGACCCCGGACCGTGATGCAAGCCTCACATCTCCGGCGCATGGAAGATGCATGATTCAGGTTCCTGCATTACAGTCCGGGTTGTAATTCGAACACCTTCTTTGATGATGATCGTTGTCTGTTTGTGTTGTTTTTGTAAAAGTTTATTTACGGGTACCCCTTGGCGAAAATTGGTGATTTTTGACGGTACATGGATACCGAGTTTGTGCAGTTCTTTAACTTTTTATTTGGTTTTTGTGTAGCGGCGATTTTTGCTAAAAATTGATCTATTTGACCTACACATTGACACATTTTCACTTAAGGAAATCACAGAATTGCACGAACTAGGCATTGCGTACTCCCTTGACTTAAACCATGTACACGTCGACCTATTTTCACTTAAAAAAACATCAGAGAATTGTACAAACTTGGCATTGCGCACTCCTCTGACTTTGTCCATGTACACATCGATATCAACAATTTCGCGACAATACAAGGGGTATCCTTCAGTTTAACCTTGTTTTTTTCTTTGTTTTTTTGTTGTACTCCGAACACTAAACATGTTTTCTCGCTCCGTTCGTGTCTTTTCTTTCTTGACTTTTGTGTCGTCAGTACCGCGTCAGGAAAGCGTTTTCGACCAGGCATTCTTATGTGTTTTCCCATCGTCTAGGTGTACTCCATCTCTCCTGAAAGTTTGTCAACGCTGTACTGATACACCTGTACCAAATATAAGCGTATATACGCTTTTGTCTATATGCAATTGTGTCTGTATGTCCTTGTTTATATGTAATTGCATCCATGTATCTACTAGTATTATCACATATCTTGGCACTGTATAGTTAATATACATATATTACGCACTGAATCATTATGTACCTAATGTATCTGTACTCCAAAATGTCTGTATATATGTATATGAATTTATGTTCTGTATATATGATAATTTAACTATGCATCTGCACATTTTATCCTATATCAAGGCACCGTATCGCAAAAATCAAACAAGGGTCCCATTCTAAAATTAATTGCACCAATTATCTGTTCAGAATTATATTAAGTACCTATTGTTAATGTATGTAAAGTAGCACTTACCAAACGCTTGGGTACCCACTGATTATTGTGTACCTAATACACGTGTTTTAATATCTTTGTACATAGGTTAATGTACTTAGGAAACAGCACAAATAATCCAGCAGCAAGACACTGTACCACACAGTACTAATCTAGGGTCTAACTTTTAATTCACTGTACTAATTACTTATTCTAGCATAACATTGCGCACTTAATAGTTCAGTATGTACATGTCTTGTGTATCGAATGATAATGCTTCAAAGGATCATAGTGTACTCAACATATGAGTACACACGTTATGTATATATGCTACCGTATCCATGCTTTTGCTTACACCTTGTAACATGGCAATGTATTATCTAGTGTCTAACATTAATTAGCTTTAACACCACTGTATTAAGTACCAAATTTGTATGTATGTTTATTTATTAGTGTGTTAACATGACTACGTATGGTTATTTAGGTAAAGGTGGACGTAGCGCTATACCGATTAACCGCATTGGTAGAGGGGTGGTGCCCACGTCCTCCGTCGCATGTCGCATGTACTGATACACCCTGTATAGTGATGAGGATTACTCCCAACTAGTCTTTCCAAATGGCTATTCGGCCACGATTATCAGGACAGGTGGGAATTTGGAGAAGAGGACCGATGCCAAAGGGGAAGAGAAATTGGGTTTTTGGACAAATCGACACTTAATTAACCACTGTGTTCGATTTTCGTTGGAACACTCATACGCATTGCATAGCGGAGCATGAAATTAGCGGATTCCACATCGGCGGATATGGGAAGAAAGGAGATTCAGTGCGAAATGAGCCATATCCGCCGATGAAAGAAATTATCTGTTTCTTAACTTAATACATCTCAGAAATTTTCTGTATTAAGTTTGAAAGACTTTGGGAAAGAGATCCTAAAAAAATGATATCCCAATTACCACTCTGAACAAAGTGCTGAGACGCAAATGTTTCGCATGGATTTGTGTACTGAAAAACATGGTGGTCATTTCCAGCGTCTGGAATAAAAAAAAAAAAAAAAATGTTTTTTGTTCTTTCTTGCTGTACTATAGTAATCCTACACGTTAATATTGTGTCCCTAGAAGAAAATAAATGGCCGATAAAAAAAAGGATTTTAAAGATTAGATTGGACATTTTCTAGAGGCCGTGCATGCGCCATCGAGGGCATTAATCCTTTGCAGCACAGTGTGTCCGGTCTGGACACACCCAAAATTTTCCTTCTGTACGCACAGAAAAATTGAATGAAAAAGGATTTATAGGTTATTATAGGTTACTCTGAATCTTCTTTATTTATAATAGATGGCAGCTCAACACAAACCAGTCCATATATTTTAGCCATGTTTAGTTTTTTAAGACCCTCATTTTTCAAAGAAATCTTCCAGATTTTTTTAGGGTATAAAAGGAATTGTTTGAAAAGAAATTTCTATGTTATTTTTTGGATGTATGCTAATCTCCTTATTCTATATTAGTTTTAAATTTTTACCTTGAAATCTTGCTTGAAATTGGACGGCGAACCCTAGGTGTGTCCAGACAGGGCTCACCGACAAACTAGGACAACTGAGATTCTGTATTCTTTGTTTTCTCCGCATCTTCTCGGTCAGTTCATTGACAACAATGTTCGTTTCAGCACTCTTTTCGAAGCTCTATTCAATCAGTGTGCCACTTTGGGCACACTCACAGAATTAAAATGATAAGTGCTACTTCACAAAATTTTACTTGTGTATTCCTCTAGGCCTAATTAGACTGCCTACCTTTTTTTTTTTTTTTTTTATCAAAACTGTAGCGTGCCGGAAAGGGTTAAAGATACTACACTTGTTATTTGCTTAATTTTTATTAGAAAAGCGCTGGTGAATTACTTACCCCAAACTGAGCGAGGGGTCCATCATACAAGGAAATCTGGCCCACGCGACAACGGTCTCTGTTAGCCAGTGACTCTGGAGTGCTGTAGCCACCACGGAGTCCTGCGCCCTCTGCCAGGATCAGTTCTAGCTCCGGCGTTGCTCCCCCGGTAACCAACGATCGGATCAGGGTGAGGGCGTTCGCATTAAAATACGTCTATGAAGAATGAAAAAAAAAAAAAAAAAAAAAACCATTAAAAATGCTTATACTTTAGAATTAGAAGTGTGAAATGGTAGAGCAGATATAATAAGAATTCATTTATGAATGCTTAAAATTTCATTAACACGTACGCTCAAAATACACAAGTTCTAGTGCTGATGATACGGATTACATGCTGATTTGAGTTTGGTACTTTTTCGCTTCGCCGCCTCAAATCTCGCCAAGCAGACTTTGCTGGCGACAACACACAGTATACACATAAAAATGTTAACAAATGTTAGCTCTAAGAATTGTTTTCTTTTGAAGGCATAAACATTTTAATATCGTTTAAATTTTGTGAAAATACAATAAATTTGTAAAAAGACATTAATTTAAGAATTTACTATGCTTTCATGGTACAACATCTTAATTCGCTGGTTCATATCACGAGACCCCAATTTCACGTAACTACGCTACAAAAATATAATTCTCTCAGTAATTATCCACATTAATTTCAAGTTAAATCTTGATATGGAATACAAGTTTAAATGTAAGAATTATATCAGTTCGTACGAATAGCTTACTCAGAAATTATGTAAAATCGCAGTGCTTTACTTCGCTCGTGCATTCGCATTATAATTGATGAATTTAACCCTAGACTTTGCCTTTTCTATATTTTCGCCTTCGGGTGAGCTGCGTGATTGCATCCTAATTGACTTAATTACCGCGAATGGCCTTAGGGCATAAAATTGAACTATCTAGTAAAAATTCTATGTAATTGTATGCCAGTATTGAAAGAAACAATCAATCTGATGATAAATGAAAACTGAGGCGTAAAAGGTTACCAGCGAGTATATTAAATTTGGCATCGGTTGTGCCGTTTTTGGCGACTTTATCGCCTTCGCCGGAAATATGGTGTTGGTGTAATTAATTATGGCAAAGCACACGAGGGCTATCTGCCTAAAGGGAGGGATGCCTTTCGTGGAGGACTTTCTAAGGGAAACTGGATCGTATACACGTTACACATGGGGAAAACCACGAAAACGCCCGTGCAGCCAGCCCGTTCGCGGGATTCGAACCTCAGACCGAACTACCAGTGTTCAGCGTCTTTACCGCTCGGCCGCTGGTGGGCCCGGAAATATGGAAAAGTACCCTAGTTTTATATTAGTTCGATGTATTTTACATTTAAAACTACTAAATCAATCTGACGTGAAGTAAATAGGTATGTTTTTAATACACGCATACATATGCCTATAGGTGTCTTAAAATGTTTGCAGGATAAATATTTCTTGAACGGCTAAGTCATACACCATTGGTTCCAGTTTAAAAAATCAACCAAAGAAAATATACTTTCAGATAATTACAGTTTTGGTCCTATGATTTTTTTTTTTTTTTTTTTTAAGTCCAAAGGGACTTGAGTCCCGAAGGATTATTACTTTCGTTTTGGCATTTTGCGTCGGACGGATAAATGTCGGTTCACTTTTCAAACTGTTGCCATAAAATGTTAGAGTCCTGCATTATATTTGAAGAAATTAAATAATGAAAATCTGCGTAAATGTTTGTATATTTCTCACATTGTCATAAAATAACGGTACATAGAGTCATCGATCGAATTTTGAATAACGTAATCCTCCAACGAATATGAGCATGTGGAAGACCAAATTTGAAATTTGAAATTTGTTTTATGATCGATTTCCTATTTTTTAAAACTTTGACGAATTTTTGATTAACAAACTCAAGGATTTCAAAGCGAGCAATGGCAACGTTGTGCAGAAAAAACATTTTTATCTCCAGCGCGTGAGTCTCTGTATCGGAAATTCTAAAGATATGCTCGTTTTAAAACTATTTTACGATATTGCTGTTGCACTGGATCTTATGGTTTAAGTGCGAGGAACATGATATTTAATAAAGAAAAGTAACACACAAAATGTTAAAAAACGCCCCTTTGGACGTAATTTAAAATCTGAAACATTTAAGATTTTTTTTTTTTTTTTTTTTTTTTTTTTTTTTTGTAAAAAGATACAAAACTTAAAGCAATTAAAGTTATGGGAAATGTATGCAAGCATTGTAGAAGATAAACAGATACGTTAAGTTTTCGAATGCAGATTTCTTACAGATATACTTATGCACTTCTAAACAACTGGTTTAAAATTACTATTTATAGGCTAGTTGAAATTCCGAATTTGACAAAATTCAGCTTAATGTATCTCCTAAACTGATGTTTATTTTTTCTTTCTTACTAAAATTACGTGTTGATTACTTATATTCATAACTTAACAACATCTACGTTTCTTACGACAGAAACTCAACGGTTCTAAATAACTACAAAAAAGTTTCTGTGCGATAAAGAAATGAAAACTGTTGTATACACGTAATATAAATAAACAAAAAAATTCAGTCATTACGCGTCTCGGTGAATTTCAAGCAAAACGTTTTTTCGCTGTAAGCTTTTACTGTTGTTTTATATTTCTAGCATCTTGGGTGCTTTTCAGAGTATTGTCTTAGCTGTGGCTTTTTTAACTTCTCACTTTTTCTGCTGTCTTTAAGTAAAGTTTAGTTATGCACAGCCATGAAAATAAAATTTCTGCTATCTTTTACGAATATTACTGTTCGTCCATGATTCCTATACATATTATTAATGTTTTTCTTGATATGCGTGTAAAACATAAACGTAGAAAAGTTAAAAGCTAGAGAAAAACCTAGTTTGAATTATTTCTAATGCAGTCTCCCATTTTTGTTTCAATGTTGCCATTACTTTTCATTTACCCTCGTAAATTTTTAAAATCGTATAAAATTTCAAGTTTAAGATACACGGGCTCGTAGAAATATGCCAAGTAAGAAAAGTGGCAGATTTGAATCAATTAGATAACATTGTTTCAATAGCAATACATCGTGTGAAATGTAGGCTGCGTCAGAGTAATGTGACTGTTTTTTTTTTTTTTTTTTTTTTTCTCTTTATTATGTTTTGTGAATTAACAGAATAAGGGGCACTAAGTACTACTTGTTATTCATCATCAGTAGTGATGCTTTGAAAATGTGTTCGAATTAATTATATAAATTATAAAACATTCGTCGCAAATATATTTTTTCATTTTATCATCAATTAAGTCTTGAAAATTCACTAAAATTTTACATCCAAATTTTGCCACTTTTTTTTTTTTTTTTTTTTTTTTCAAATTTTGCCACCAAAATTTCCCACTCTTGTTGGTAACCTATCAGCTTTTGTCTTAATCTGTGAATGTCATTCTTCATTTCATTATGTCATTCACACTTTTTCATTCCTATTTTTTTTTTTGGCTACACATACTGACGCAATGTAAGATAATCATAATATCTTTCGATATTTTACACCTTTCTGAACATTGAAAAATATGACATTGCGGCAGTGCAACGAGGCAGACTTGTTTTGTCTACAGTATTATAAATGTTTTCAAGACAATATATTGTAGATAATTTTAGCTTGCATTTGAAAATTGTGTTCCTGCAACCGAGTCTCCTAAAACTCCAGTTGCCCTTTAAAGGGAGGAGTATATAAGGTATTTCTCCCGCCTTCTTAGCATCCCTTCGTAGTGTAGTGGTCAGCACGCTCTACGCGTATTCTATAGGTTCGCGTTTCGAACATTGTATTGCACATTTTTCATGTCTCCTGGTTAAAAAAAAAAAAATCCTAATGTCTTTACAAACTTTGAGGCGGCAGCTGTAACATCAATAAAATGTTACCATCAGAAGGTAAACAAAGTTGCAGAAGTTGTTCATGAACAAGATCGTTTTATTCAAAATATGAAAGACGATTTTGAATTTGTGCTTTAGCATTTATTTGGTAAACATTAAAGATATAAAAATAATATTTTCCATACTGTGCTCATCAAAGAATCCAGGACACTGACAGCAAAGGCAGTGCCACAGGCGAAAGGCTGGGTCAAATAGAGCTCAGTATCAGGATCATCATCATCGTCTTGATCTAAGAACTGTACGTTTGTGTCATTCACTGTAACAGTAAAAGAAAAACATTAGAATTGTAACGCCAGAAACTTTGTAAAATGTTTGCATTATATGAAACTAAAAATCAAATCAAATCTTTTTATAGACATAAAAACATATTATTTGGTATAAAAATGCATTGTTTGGTTACTAATTGAATGATCAATAAGAGTGATTTGCTAAAAAATGAAACTGAGAACAGTTTACTTTTCATGTACTTCTTTGTTACGAATTTGGTTTAAGTGAAAAATCTACTGTTTTTAATATAAAGCAATCGAAATTTAAAACCAAACCGTTTTCACCCAAATCCGTGATATATGGCGTTAGAAGCATTTTTTGTTGCCTACAACTGCATCGCAAATGTTTTTAAGAATCATGAGTTAAGAGGTCATCTAAGAACTAGATGAACTCTGACACCAATTAGAGATAACAATTAAAAATAAAGCTTAAAAATTGTTGTGATACGTGTATATATCTTCTAAGTACAGCTAAGAAATTACAATTTAAATCTGAAAATCCAATTTAAGATCTTATGGAATGTTGAATTAAATCTTTTATCAGTTCTGCAAATAATTTATAAATTTTTAATAACGCTATAAATGCTCATAACTGTTAGTTAGATATAACCAATTAAACGTATTTAAAATTATTTCAGTTATATTTTTCATTAAAATTAATTATGATTTAAATTACTAAAAACTGCTTTTAAATTACTTACTTCATAATTCTTATAATTTTGGAAGATCTGAAATTAAACACGTTATTTCACATAAAGTGCAAAATTCTGGAAATTGATTACTCACAAGGCCATATGGAAACTAAAGGTTTTATGTTTCGTGCAATTGTCAAACTTTCAAAGCGGCATGTTAGCGTAGCCTATGGTCCAAAGAAATTGGAAAAATTTCTTTGAAAATCAAAAAGTGATCTATCTTTTTTTTTTTTTTTTTTTTTTTTTTTTTTTTTAGGGAAAAAATTGTTTCAATACCTTACCTAGTTCTGTGATCAGTGGAACATTAGTTCCATATACGGATCCTCTTCTTTGCATCACAATGGGACTACCGAGGGGGGATAAAGCATCTGGGCCTCCTGGATCTGAAGAGAGGAAGAAACCATTATTTGTAGTATCAGGAATCAGAACTCATTTATAGTGGAACTAAAGAAAAACTTGAGTAGTTACTAAATAATAGAATAATTGATTTTTATGGTAGTAGAAGACAAGAGAGTGCTTGTTTTACACACACACACACATATATATGAAACCCAAAAATTACTCATTTTAATTTGGGTACTTCCCCTCTCTATTCTAAAAATAGTAACACCTTTTTGTAAACTGTGCCACTGAAAAACTAACTTGCATTATGTCATGTGCGTTGCTTAGAGCTCTTGGCCAATCACTAATCAAAACTCAAACATGGGATTCCAGTTTTGTATGTAGGCCTTGCTGAAATGCGCACTCACTTTTTTTACTCGCTGTTGCCCGGCTAGCTCATGTCTCGTCGCTTCGTTCTATTGGTTAAAAATGTGATAAATGTATATAGAATTGTTGGTTCGATAGTGAGGGAAATATTTGTCATAAGAAATTATTAATCAAGGAATAAAAATCTTCGTAGATCTTGTTATCTACAAGTGTTCAACGCCTGCAAGTATCTACTGCTACGTAAGTCGACAACTCGCCTTTAAAACATGTAATATCATATGAGTAATTAAATATTAGATTTTGAGGCCAAGCGTAGAAGCATCAACTGATATTCCATAGCAAATAATTTTGACTATAAAGAGATAAAAATGAAGTCGTTGCACTGATGATTATGATTTGCATGTACATCCTTTTTTAAAAAAAATCAAGGACAAAGGTCGTTAAAAAATAGAACATTACATTTACCAAATAATGATCCTAGCTGCCATCAAAGTAGTTCTCTTGGCTATCTATACACAACTGGCAACGTTTCTGGAGGTCTTGGAAACAAACGGGGAAATCTTCAACTGCGATGCTTGCAAGCTTATTTGCCACAGCCCGTTGGATGTCTGCAATGATCTTGATGAAGCTTTCTTTTCAGTCACCTTTTCACTCACGGAAACAAGAAAAGATAACAGTAGTCTTTGACGCAAATGTAGGATGACGTCTGGCTCTATCCAATAGTTTCGCAGAAATTCTTTATCTTGCCTCTTTCTGTTCATCTGTTAGTGAGTTAGGGACGATTCTTGTATTACGTTTCCCTAAATATTCGCGTAAAATTTTATTTATGACACACATTACGATTCAAATTAAGTTCATCTGGTATCATATGCACGACACGACGTTCTTCTTGCAATAACTGTCTTGCACTGAATCTCTGCCTTCACGAAACCTTTTATGCCACTCGAAAACACGACTTCTTGAAACTTATCACTGAATGAGATTTGGGTTTCTTATTTTTGGCAATGCTACTTGGGGAGGAAAACACATGATATGACACCTATTAGGCATTTATAAAGTCTGGGTGAGTCATCCATGGAAGAACAGTGAAACGAACTTGCATAAATTGGGGTCTTTATGACTTACACATTTATATCTTACTAAAAGTAAAACGTATTAGTCGTGGAAATTAAAATAACGATTCTCAAGTGATTGGTTTCCTTTTTACTGACATTTAAATGTCCCTTTAAAATGTCCTGAAAAAGGTAAACAAGAGTATTCGAATGCTTATAACATCTTTAAAAATAATTTTACACACAAGCGGTTTTTTTGTAGACGATAGAGTTAAAACCCTAGAATATTATCATATAAAATTTTTATTTTGCCAATTTTTGGTTGATTTTTGCTAAAACCCCCACTGTTTCCTTAACGAGTGCGACAATCCGAACAGTGTGTTGCTAAGCGCTGCCCTATAACCTGTTTGTCCAAGTTTGCGTGAAAACATAGCCAAGGTCATGTCAAGTAAGAATATTTACCGGGTAACATAAAAACAACGTTTGTTCCTTTTTAGTACTGTAAACTCAGAAATAATAATAATAATAATAATAATAAAGTCCTGGAACATCTAGGATATGACACCGTTAAAAAATGTTCAAAGATTTTTTCAATTGATGTTTAAATGTTTTTCTTTCAAATACCATTTATTTGGTTTAAGACATAGAAATAACTACGTACTATGAGTAAGCACTCCTATCGTGTCATCGAACGTCATGGCCTTTATATTCAGTGAAGCCAAGATGGCTTCCTTGTCCGCAAGCGTCGGATCATCGCTGCTTGGAATTTTCGCAGAAAGTATGACACACATGTCGCAGAGATTGATGTTCACTGCTCTCAAATCAGCGCGACTGAGAGGCGACCCCTGCAAACAGAAAACAGAATTTAATCTAAAAGACTCAAATTTTGCCACATTGGGATCACTGAGTAATTTGATTACTGTCATCACTTAAACACGAACGGTAATTCCATTGAGAAAAAAAAATTGTTTCTTACAGATTTTACCATAATTTTTATGAATACTGTTCATACATCAAATTCCAAGGGAGGAAAACGATTTCATTTGCATACCTGCGCAACTTTCAGAATACAGAAATATTTTTCTATATAATTTACCATTGTAAGAAATCATTTGCAGTTTCAGGAAGCAGTACGCCATACCAGCTATTCTCAACCGGCGGTACGCGTACCACTGGTAATATGCAAGAGAAAAATAGGCGGTACGCAAAGAAAAGCAAAGTATTTTTAACTATTAATTTCAAAAATCTCATGCAGGAAAAGAACATTTGATAGAAATTTTCCTTTCATCGAACTCTGACTGATCTTGTTGACTTTGGGCTAAACCGAAAAAAAGAAATTAAAGGCATTTCAAATAAAGCTATTAAATTTTTATTGCCATTTTGTACAACCTATTTGTGTGAACAAAGATTTTTCTTCCGTGTTAATATTTGAAAACAAATACAGAACAAAATTAAAAGTGGATCCTAATTTACGGTTAAAACTAAGTAAAATAAGACCAGGCAGCCATAAACAAATTGATCTCTCTTATACAGGCTCAGATTTCACAGCAAATTTTAGAATTAAAGTATTGTAACTTAAATTTTGAGAATTAAAATAGTAACCATTGTTTAACCTAATATTTTTATGTGTGCATATTTAATACAAATAGCCAATAGGTTGTGCAAATGACAAAATATTTTGTTAATATCTCTATTCAGAAACTGAAAAATAATCATTTTAAAGTGTTGTGGTAGTACTAAGGATTTTCAGATTTTGTTTAAATGGTACGCGTTAGTCAAAAGGTTGAAAACCGCTGAGGTACCGTATTAATACGCATTAATATTTATTTTATGTTAAATTTAGGTAAAGGTAAAAAAAAAAAAAAAAAAAAAAGTAAGATTAAAAGGTACCGTATTAATGCGCATTAATATTTACATTATGTTAAATTTGTAACATCTTAAAATATGTCCAGCTAAGAACATAGACGGACTTTTCAGCGAAAAGTGATTTCTTTCACACAATGGCAGTATCAGAAATTCTTTTTCGTTTTCTATCAAAGACTTATTGTATAAAAATGGTGAGTTTTTATGAGACAAGATTTCCATCCATTTTTATTAGAAAAAAATTATACATTAAAAACATTAGAGAAACCATTTCTCTTTCTGTGAGGAATGTAAAATTAAATTTTAGATTGACACTGCTTTGATATAAATTCACCCTCGATTTGCATAGGTTTTCTATAAAATCAGTGTCAATCTAAGTTTAAATTTTGCGTAATCTTAAATTCAAACTAATGTGCTTTTCTTCCACATATAATGAGAAATTTACGAGTTCGATTATATGATCAAGCACTGTTTCAAAAATTATATCAAAATATATCAGAATAACTTACGTTCAGTACAGAGATTTTGGGTAGATTCTGTAGCATCTTCCACTCACGTCGAAGATAGTCTACATTTCCAACGATAACAACGTGTTTGAGTTCGTGGTAATGGAAATTACTGGCACGAAGTGGCATCACAAGATTTCTCAAACCGATCAGTGGAGAATCAGGATCAGCGAAGAGACACACTACGACATGACCATTTAGTACAGTCATGGCTGCTTGATTTCGATCCTGAAACACGAACATCTTTTTTGAAGTTCTCTATAACAGGCAAATCTAAATGAACAGAAATGTATTATATATATATGTGATGTACTAGCTTTTGTCCGGAATAAATAGATTGCTGAAGAATCATAGATGTAGTCGTAGCTTAAATTATCAGACGATAAGTTTAAAAAACAGGATCCATTTATTATATTTCAGGAGAAAATAGCAGTTACAAAATCAGATATCCGAAGTAAATAAAAAAGAATTACTAATAACTTTTTGTATGAAGTTTACTGCATCAAGACATTTAAGAAAAAGCCTCCGATATTCCTTTGCGAGTTCTTTTATAGCCTCTGGAAAGGCGGAGCTTCCAAGAAATGACGTCAGCCTTGTCAGTCAATCCAGTTCGCTTTAAATATTTCCAGAACATTCTATAACTGTACGTGTAAAAAAGGCGGGAAAAACAAGACTACGGGGCTGTGAATTTAATTCCACGTAATTTCAAATAAGAGAACGTCGCCATTAAAAATGAAAAGAACATACAGTTAGAATTTTAAGTGTGTTCTTGACTATGGAATTTTATTATTACATATATATAAAGCAAGATTTTGAGAAGATGATGAATGCTGCAAATGCAGTTTTGAATTTGTGCTACCCTATCGAGTTCAGATGCTTGCGTGCAGAATTTGGCCCTTTTTGAAGATACATTTCTCAATGTGCCAGATTAGGTACTCTACAATAGACAAAGAGTAAACCTGAAATTATAATCTGAAAGCGACATGTCCATAACAAGATTGCGAGTTTTTAGTTAAGTATGCCATCATCGAGGGAAAAACTCTAGAATCACTGCTGAAAAAAACTCTAGAATCACTGCTGAAAAAAACTCTAGAATCACTGCTGTGCCCATATCACTGTTCACTGTTCTACAGTCGCGACATAATTTTCATTGTGAGAATTAAGCACGAAAATGATGCCGAATATATGAAAGTCACAAAATGTTTAAAAGCTTCACAGACATTATAAGAAGTAAATCATTTTCAAAGGAGAATATATTTATATTTTATGTAATATGCAAGAAGTAACGAAACGTAAATCAAAGAATCTAGTTAAAAGTTTTTCGCTTGAAAACCACCGGACATTAATGTGTAAAAGCAGCTTATAACACTTACTACTCATTTCATTGCACTAAATTGTAAACAGTCTTGAACTCAGAATCCAACATTTAATAAGGGTAGCTGATGATGGTTTTGGTAGCTGATGCTGCAATGCAACTTTGCATCTCGTGCAACGCTTTCAATTTTGGCGTAAACTCCACCATGACAATCTGTTTATCAACGTATACAAACTCCTACCAATTTATTTCATTCTTTTTCCAATTTATTTCACGATCAGTGATAAATTCATTTATTTTCTCAAACATCTTATCCACTGTGGTATGATTCGGTAAAGGTTGGTAGAATATCACTTTTTCATCTATGATTTTATTGATTTTCAAATAGAATAGAAGCCATCAGATGTGGAAAGCTGACTACATCTGTTGCTTTCATCAAACTGAATGACAAAATATTTGCTCTGCTTTTATTTTTGATTAGTTTTACTTAAGTTTCGATTTTATTGATTCATCGCAAATGACAAAGAAATAACATGGAAACTTTGGCTGCTGCAGTACGGCTAAGAACAGACGCCGCAGTATCTTTAATGTAGCATTAAAGATTCTTCTACAGTGCAGCGGCCGAGCGGTAAAGTCGCTGAACACTGGTAGTTCGAATCCCGCGAACGGGCTGGCTGCATGGGCATTTTCATGGTTTTTCCCATGTGTAACGTGTATACGAGCCAGTTTTCCTTAGGAAGTCCTCCACGAAGGCATTCCTCTTTTAAGGCAGATAGTCCTCGAGTGCTTTGCCGTAACCTAATAAAACCAAATCTTATCCACTGTGCAGATTTCAGTGCAGATTTGGAGTTTGAGCAATTATAGAAAATTAGTACTCGTTTGTTGTATTGTCATGAAAAAAATGAAATGAACGTATGTTAGTTTTCATTTCAGTTCATTTTCGTTTAAAAAAGTCGAGAGGTTTACCTATTGTCAGGTTTACCAATTGTCATTATTATTTACCTATTGTACCAATTGTCATTATTATTTATTTACCTATTGTATCTATTGTAATATAGGTTTACCTATTGTTATCGTTTTAATTTCCTTTCAAAAAAATATTCCATATAATTTTCATTTAACTTTTTATGGCATTAGCACAGAGCTTAATTTGCGCCGTACTTCTTAGTTTTGGGGACATATTCTAGTCTAGCCAGAGCTTACCGGAGCTCTGAATAAGCACTTTTTTTACGTAAAGGAACAATTATTTCAGTAGAAATTTGGTCTAGAAAATTTTATTTTTAGCATTAAAATTATATAAAAAAAAACCATTTATTAAATTTTAATTTATCTCTTTGCATTTTATTTAATTACTTTAATCTTTCATTATTTTAATAAATAATAATAAATTAACTATGAATTCATTAAATAATAATAATAAATTAACTATGACTTAATTAAATAATAATTATAAATTAAATAATAAATATTAATTTGATACTCATTAACTATTTAATTTAAAAATTATTATTGATTTTAAATAGTCATTTCATTTATGTGCCTTTTTCCTGATGATCTTCCATAGGGCTCCGGCACTTCTACTTTTAGAAATTAAGCCCTGCTTTAATATTTTGTGCTGCGGATGTTTCGTGAGATTCAAGATTAAAACCAGAGTGCTAGCTGTATCTTCTGCCAGTCGTTCCCCTTTGATTTTGTTGTTCCCAACCGTTTGCCCATTATAAGCAGGATTGGACCTAAGAAGTAACGGTGCTATTCCGTTTTTGAGGGCCGTAAAAAAATTGCAGCGAAAATGTATGCGCAAAAGCTCCAAATCTAGCAAACGCACCCATTTAATAGCGCGCAAAATCTAACGTACGCGCTGATTTCAGATTACGTAATTTTATATAGTTCTATAATTCTTAAGACGCCATTGAAATGCTAGTTTAATTTTTAAATTCTTTTTTTTATTTTAAATTCTTTTTTTATATCCTATGGATTTAACAATTTGGGAATTTCCCATGACGAAAAGTGTGCAATAGAATGCTGCGTAAAGTCCACCACTGCTTGACTGCAGAATCCACTACTGCTTGACGCGTTTTTAAGCATTGCACATACTCGGTATCCATGTGCACATCGACCTATTTTCTCTTCAAAAAAAATTCCAGAATAGCACAAAAATGGCGCTGTGCACACCCTTGAATTTATCCATGTACACATCGACCGATTTTCACTTAAAAAGTAAAAGAAAATTGACAAAAATCCAATTGTTTTTACCCTTGTAAAAAGCGGCAAACAAATAAGTGGGCGATTCTGCACTTTACCGAGAATTTTTTTCAAAGAAAAGGCATCATTCATTATAGAAAATTATGTTTGAACAACCAACGAGATGAAAGTATGCTTTAGCGATAACTCAGTAGGGAAACAGCGATGCAGGCATCCATTCAGTTATGTTTAGCAATTTTTATATAAATTATAATAATGATCTGAAATAGTTATTTACTCCTATGCTTCCATTCAGTCATGTTTAGCCTTTTTTATATAAATTATAATAATAAAAAAGTATTATATGAAGTTAACCTTTCATCTAAATTAAGACATCAATCTTAGATAGTTATTGACTATTATACTTTTTTTCTTGCGTTAGGGTTGCCGCAATTATTCTTGGCCGCACTGGCATCAACAATGGTTTTGCGATTTTTTACGGCTCTCAAAACCGAATAGTACCGAAGTGGGGTTATATAATTTTTTAAATGTATAAAAATTTGGCGTGCCGAACTCTACTCTAACCGATCATTCTTCGCAACTCGAGTGTCGGGAATTAAATTAGAGCTCGTGGGTTTAACTATTGTAGTGCGAAATAAAGGAAAAGGCGGATTGTTGTTACGCTACGATTTATTAAACTAGAATCTTGTGGAAGTACTTGTACTTGTACTAATTATAATATTAACTCCAAAGCCATAACTAGCATATGGCCAGTGTGGCTGTAGCCATAGGTGCCAAAAACAGTATAAATATGTATGTATTTCAATAACATACATTAAAATTAAATATTAAAGTGTGCCTTTTTACATTCATTCTGAAAATACATTTAAATCTTTGTGTAAATATTATACCACCAAAAATAATGGGATGTATCATTAGTGGTATACGTACCAGTGTTTGAAAAACTCTGATATAGACCACAGCCATATTTAATTTCCCATAGCTGGTTTCATTGGCGATTATTTATCCAATAATTATACACAATACAACAATTAACATCAGCTGAATGCCTAATCAAATATTCGGAGGAGCGCATTGATGATAAAATCTCATTGGGTATTTTCAAACTGAATATTCTAAATCTTCATCAATTTGTAAACTAACGTGGAATAAACAAACTTTTTCAAAAGGAAAAGTGATGGTTTACGCAAGAAGGCACAGGAAACAGCTTTTGTTTGTTCTGTGATCGGAATCGCATAGCTTCAACAGCCAACCAATTCTGCGTGGAAAACAATTACAACAATATCTGCTTCTTGGGATACTTACCAGAATGCAGTCTTCCAGAGATTTGGCAGGGCACCAATGGAACATGCCCGTTGAATCATATTTCATCTCTGTCTTCTCGAAATCAAAATCCTTAGCTTGGTCATCAGCAAGTCCAACAGAAAGTGGGCCCTCTTGTTTGTTTGACCCATTCGTGCCAGTCGCCCTACTAGTGGGCCTAAAGAAAGCAAGAGCAAATAATCGCGCCATAGAAAGTATATCCCGGACAGGAAGCAAATAAATAGAATGTAATAAAATTAAGGAAAATTAAAATTAAAAAGTAAACTAAAACTGAGTGCAAATTTGCTTTATGGGAAAGCTGAATTAAAGGAACATTTTATCCGTTTCTCATGCGAAAATTAATGTTTTGCTTTTACTTGGCAATTGTAGGTAATTAACATTTTAAACTAGCTTTGAACCTAAAAAAAAAAATAAATAAATAAATAAAAAACAAATTAAAAAAAAATATTAACTTAGGCCAGATCATCACAAGAATAAAAATTGCAAAATAATATCGGTTAGTAATTTACAAATTCAAAGGAAATATGAAACCATTACATGAAAGAATTATAATACTGAAAAAATAAAAGAAAACAAGCAACAGGCATGGTTCGAAGAAGGATATCAAAAACCTGCAAATGATACTTTCTAATTATAACACGAATGGGGGGAAAAGTAAACTGGCTGGCAGAAGTGAAATAAGAATTCTGAAACAGCTCATAAGAAATTTGTCTATCTATTGCCTTGCAGCTACTAAGCTGTTAAAGTGATTATCAGCAGTTAGAGTTGTTGACATCTACAAAATAAAATCATGGACTGGTTCAGTTAGAAGTAGAAGGAAAATGAGTTTTTCTTGCTTTATCAAGTATTATTAAATAGAAATATTAATTAGATACGTTACATATACGTAGCCATTAAAAGGGTGAAGATATTGTGGAAATTTGCGGACAAAAGAAAAGCAGAGGAAAAAAAAAGAACTTTTTCTTTTTCTTTTTTTTTTTTTTTTTTGAAATATTACTGCGAATTGGCTGTTAGCTAAATTGAAAAAAGGAAGGGCAAAACAATTTTTGTTAAGAATTAATGGAAATTTAGGATAAAAAGATCATATAGAGATAAAACCACTGGGAGAAATGAAGGAATTTAGTTTATAATTTTAGTCTTAAATCATGTGTTACGATTAATCTAAGAAAAGTACGTTTGAAATTAAATATAAATGATAATACAGGAATAATATTTCTATAAAATCGAGGTTATTTATGGTTGAATTTTGAATTATTTTTATCATACAGTAACTTATTTTTATCATACAGTAACTTATTTTAATTATAAAATAAATTGTACGATAATTTTGTATACTTTGTGTTTTTCCTAGGCATATGATAAATTAATATGGGCTTAGTACATCTGTTAAATAATTAAATCAAGTCAAGAATAACTCATTTATTTCAAGCATAAAGGGTATAAGAGGTGCATCAATATAAAAAACAGTGTAAACAACCAAGCAGTGTGCTAGTCCAACAAAACATGCTACGTGCGATGCTAATGCAATTCATAACTATCATGCAACGATAAATATATTAAGTAATATATCTAAAAAACAACTTTGTGATGAACAAGCGTATCATGCTCTCTAAAACATGCTAGGATATTTTATCACGTAGTAGTCCTCTTAAGCGCAACTCAATCCATTACTTTTCTAAAATAGCATTGTTTAATCCTAAGTGTAATTCACGGAAAAGGCTAAATGTTCTGATTCTGTTCATACTCGTTTTAAAAAGTATAAAATTCAAGAACTGGAGATACGTATTGCAATATTGGATTGGACAACATTTATTTATTGTCGTGACAAACAGAGGCATAGTGTATGTGAATACTATTTTATTGGATAAAGTAATTGGTTTTTGGAGGACAAAACAATAGCTTTTAATGGTTGTGAAATGCGTAACTTAACCCTTTGTTGCATCATGTCCACTCTAGTAGACAAAAGTTTAAATTTGTTTATTCTTCTGTAAATGCCGTAACAGATTCCATTCCTGTGTTTATTCATTCTATATTACTAACTTTCCACTTCCGATCATAATGCCTGTATAGCATCACTAGTGAGCATGCCTTTGAAATGGCTGCTACTTCTGTTCCAAGTTAGTACATTTCTCATAGAAACATTATATATTGGCTTTAATTTCTTATAATACATTTTTTTTCTATTAGTCTTTTACACATTTTATTTAATGTTTTTTGACCAAATTTGTGGACTTTGGATGGTCTATAAAAAAAAGAGGAATTTTTTTAAAACCGAAATGCTTATCAGCCAAAACCCACTGGAAGTTACGTTTGCAAGAATTTCTAGAAATTTTGACATTTTAATGCAATAGGTAACAAAATCCTAGAAAATGACATTCATCACATCGACGAAATAAGGATTTGGGGGATCTTTATGACATTGCAGTTGTAGATTTACCATTTAGAAGATGGTAATGGTCACTGCAAACGAGGAGGAAATATTCAAAATGCAATGACCGTCATCGTTTGAAGAGATTTGTATGCGTTCGTATATGCATGCGTCCACTGTAGTGAACAACTGTAGCATTATTTAAACGAAATTTTAATAAAATTAACTTTTTGTATATTACAGGTTATTTAAGTAGAAAAAATACAAACATTTTCGTTTAACTTCTCTAGATTATTTGTGTGCAACAAAGGGTTAAGTATGGTATAACTCTTTTGAAAATTAATGGTTTTCCAGAAAATTCACTCCTGAAAATACTTCTTCCAAATTTCTGTTTACACAAAACTGCCTGTTTATTTAAATTTCCTAGCAAACCAAATCGCCTATAACTTTCAGCTGATATTGTGAAATCAGACTACATGGCTTAAAGAAGGATGATGCATATTTTGACGTTATGCAGTAAAAAAAAAAAGAAATTAATACATTGATTAAATCACAGGGTAACGACGGGAAGTTCATTTTTAATATTGCTTCACTGGCGCTCAGTAATTTGAGATATTGTCTTTTGGGTCATTTTGAAAGATACAATCTTACCCAAATATCTAGAAAACTATAGTCAGGGATAGTCAATGCAACGAAACGACAACCCTAGCAGCTCTAGCTTGATAAGCTAGTGCTTATCAATAAAAATGCTTCTTTAATCAATCAGCAAAATATCAGTCGCTCTATTCCAAAGATCAGAAATGCTTTTTTATATTTAAAGAAAAATTATGACGTCAGTATTACATCACAAAATCTAGACGCGACATTTAGAGGGATGTGTAGCTTCTGGAAAACCCTCTTAAGGCGCTCTATATTTATACCCCGAATAAAGTTATCAGTATTAGTTTATCTGGGGGATTACCTTTAATAGGTCTTTCAACTGGTCCACTCACATGGAATAATGTTCAGAGCATAAGGAATAATGTTCAATCCCATTGCTTAAAAATGCTTAAAAATTGGTTAAATTTTTTTCCCCATTGCTTAAAAATGATCAGCTTTCTGTCAGTTTGAGAGAAGTATATCACATCTATTAGGCCTATTTTCACGTATGCGTGTTCAGCCTGAACTACTGCCAGTGAGAAAGAGTACAAAAAAAAAAACTTCAGGTGTTGCAAAATAAATCCCTTAAAATTATCGCAGGTACCTCGTATTTTATAACGAACAGAAGCACTTAGATCTAAAAATCACGGATTAATGGAAGATTTTATGAGCGAAGAAATAACCCAGCACATTTCGCACAAATCCTGGAGTACGACATTATCGAGGAGGATCAATGTTTTAGACTGTACGCTGCTCATTTGCTGCGTACTACACTGAATAATCAGGATGACCAATGAGAAAGCAGAATTCCATAGTGCTTTCATTATTCAGTTTAGTTTAATATTGTGTCTTTTCAAATGCGTGAATTCTAAGAGAGTACCAGAATACCGACCAGTCTCCAGACCTACCCGGTCTTCAATTTTAGAAGCAAAGTGCTTCAATCTCTTCTTTTCCCGTCAAATACTTATCTCTTTTGGAGAATATTCTTTGCGGTTGCATCACAAGTCAAGCCCTGATGGGACTCTTTCAATAACTGGCAAGAGTAGGGAACACTATGACCTGCTGCAGGCCAGTATACTGACCAAGTATCAAAGTATCAGTATTAGTTCGCTGAATTATCTTCCTTTGACAACAAGCTCTATTAAGTCAAAAAGCAACATCCCCGGTGCTGTATTATCAGACTGCGAAAAGTGCAGTTATGATGCCCCAAAGACGAAAGGAATAAAATTAAATTTTCCCTGCTTTTAGAGAGATAACACATAATAATTTTTTCGAGATTTAGAATGTCTTTGAGCGCCAGTATAGTATCTACCTTCTTATATTAAAGATTCTGACTAATTATGATTAATTTTCTTGCATTATGGATTCTGACTGATGGTTGTGAAGTGGTAATTTTTTTAGCGCCATTTTCCTTTATAAATTCATGAATACTGTTGCTTAAAATTATGAAACAGAGAAAAATTTATTGATCAAATATTTGAATTAAATATGCTGGTGTTTTTTTTAATATATCTTGGAATGTAAACACTAATGCACGTGTAACATATTTATCAAAATGCACGTTCAATATTTCATAGTTTAATGCAATTTATCAAGTGAAAATAAAAGCTTGATTTGCTAGAGAAAATTTGAGTGTTTGTTATGTACGAAAAAAAGACGTTTCCTAGAAGAGTTACGGATTTTAACGCCATTATTATTGAAGAGTCCTTGAAAACATTATACGAAATTGAATAATACGAAAGTGCAAGTATTTTCTTGAAGTTATGAAGCTATAATAAGTTAGATTTTGAAAAACATTGATGCTTTGAATCATAACAGAAATAACAGTGAGAGTGAAATTTAGAACTAATCATTTAGGTGTCAAAGGTAGCATGACAGAGGTTTCCTTTGTGTTATGTGAATACTAAAAATATTGTAATGGAAATACAATATTTCATCCAGTCATCTGGTCAGTTGATGAACGAACAGAACAGAACAGAATACATTTTTATATATATGGAAAAATCATTTAATTCCACGTCAAGTAGACATGAATATTAGGTATAGTACTAGTGCTTTCTCGATTCTCGTTGACTAAATGTTTACTTGAACTATCTGGTGAAAACGGTTAGTTTAAAAAATTTTGTAAAATGATTTGGTACTATTCCGTTTTGACGACCGTAAAAAATCGCCAAACTATTGTTGATGCCAGTGCTGCCAAAAATAATTGCGGCAACCCTAACGTAAGAAAGGAAGTGTAACAGTAATACTATCTGAAATTATTGTTTTAATTTAGATGAAAGGTTATTTCATATACTTTTTTATTTTACAATTTATATAAAAGGCTAAATAACTGATGGATTCCTGCATTGCTATTTCGTTACCGAGTTATCGCTAAAGATAATTTCATCTCGTTGTTGTTCAACATAATTTTCTATAATAAATTATGCCTTTTCTTCGAAAAAATTCTATTGCCGATTTTTCCTCATGGAAAATTCCCAAATTGTTAAAACCATAGGATATCAAAAAAAGGATTTAAAAATTAAGCTAGTATTTCAATGGCGTCTTAAAAGAAATATAGAACTATCTAAACTTGCGCAATTTGAAATCAGCGCGTACGCTAGATTTGGCGCGCTGTTGAATAGGCTTGTTTGCTAGATTTGGCGCTTTTGCACATACATTTTCGCTGCAACTTTTTACGGTCCTCAAAGCGGAATAGTACCAATGACGGTATGAGTTGTACATGTAATTTCACAGATGTCGGTTCTGTTTTTAAATTTAAAGACGATCTGAGCTGACGAAGTGATGGTATCAGCTGTCATAAGAGGGCTACTATGTTAACATACGAAATCAGAAAAAAAAAAAAAAAAAAAAAAAGAAAAAAAAAAAAAAAAAAAAAAAAAAAAAAAAAAAAAAAAAAAAAAAAAATTGCAGACATAGCCAGAGCATGAAAATTGAAGTAGAGGTAGAAATAGAAAGTAGAGGCATACATGAGTTTTTTCACTTCATAGGCTAGGTGTAAGCCAGCAAATGTGTCGTCGGTCCTGGCGCCGTGCGTTGTGTTAGCCAGCGGGCTGGAAAGAAACAGGAGAAAGGGGCCAGAAGTGATACCAGGAATGTGCAAAACAACCACACGCACGCGCACACACTAGAACCGCGCATTTCAATGTGGATATTGTGAGGTGCCAGCACAAGAAACAAAGACAAGCAAAGCAAACACTTCTTCACAAAGTACGAAAATGAAATTAGAATTTCACGGGGAAGCGGAAAGCGCGTACACCATAACGCATTCTCTCGTCACTCGCATTTAAGAGCCGAAAACGAAACGTTATCACGGATGCACTTGGAAACCTTACGTAAAACGTTTGCAACTAAGCTAAATGATGGTTTAAACTCGGTATTGAAATTAACTGAAAGAAAAAAAAATACGGTAAAACATCCGGAAAATGAATTAGAATTCTCAGCCTCTACATGTGAGCGTCTTCGGACCTGTTCGCATACTTTCATTCTCCTCTTAAACGAAATTTATGTGGTCTTGAAAATATTACCCGGGGTAAAGCATTATGCCCGGACGTGCAACGAGAAAGTACAAATTGCTTCCCTTAAACATTTAGTTATAGAGTTATAAGTTCCGTTATACATTAAGTTATAATTCCGTTATACTATGACATTATAAATTCCGTGTGGCTCATTTAGCGTCGCAGTAAAACATCTTAGTTATCAGTAGCTTGATGATTCGTTTCTTGTTTTTCATGAAGTAGTTTCCGATGAACAATCTGATAAATCTAATTTATGAGCCATCTGACATTTCGTACGCAGTTCTATCCTAGCATTTTATCCTATTAAAATCTTTAGTTTTTATACTCAAAAGACACCTGGAACATTTTCTAGTTTCATAACTTGAAACTGTTCCAGAAGAACAATTTCTCTGAAACTCTCGATTATGTTATCCTTTTCGCGTTTCCTTGAGACATTAGTATTTTTATTAGGTCTTCATCAATTATACGTTTCTGTTTAAGGGAATTGCGCAATGCTGTTTGGGAAATTCGGAATTTAAATGCAGCTTTTTTTGGAGGAGGAAGGGCCATACATACAAAGAACATCAAGATATTTTAACAATTTATCCTTTTTTTTTAGGCTGAAATCTTTTTGCTTAGGCATTTTCGACACGTTATAAGTAAACACACAACAAATTAAAACAGTTTTTCTTCCACTGACTTAGAAAGATTCAAAATTCACGTTTTAAACCAGCATTTTTCTGTCTATTAAGTCTACCTGTCACTTCAGGAATTTTTGCAGACATGTCCAATGCTTTCTTTCCAAGCCTGCGTTCCATTCAAAGACTAATAATGTACCTAAGAAGTATTTCATGAACTGTTTTGAGAATGTGATGTAAACATAAAAGGAGTTTTGCAACGGAAAGATTTTGAATGCGGAAACCTTAAAAGATGGGTTGTAGAAATTGTACGTTTGTCTCCATATCAGCTGGCATTTGAGAAGGACCGCGCATTCATTACCCGCCTCTACAGGACACATTTTAAAGGAAGGTCTATTTCTCTGAATTTCATTCGGGGTAAAGACCACTTAAGACTGTGCTGGACGTGTAGAATTAAGGGAGAGAAAAATTTCGTGCAAACTCGTTGTATGCATGATTCAATAGTAAGTAAGCCAATGTCCACAATAAGTGAAACAGCTTTGCTATTGCAGGATATTCTGGCGCCGAAGAATAAAGCTTCCACCAATCTGAGTTTTCTAAGTGGCGGTTTTCTTGTCGATTAGTATATATTTTTTTTGGGGGGGGGAGTTAGAAATTTGAACGTAGTAAGAGGCTGATTTCGTAAATTTAATTTATTTATTACAAATGCTCAGAAGATTGGCTCTGACGCCATTAGATCTCTAGCCCTAATATTTTTGAACTTTACAGTTTAAAAAACACAAGTGAAGAACACGAGTCAGGGTGAATAGCATCAAAAATTTGATGTTGTTCGTACAGATGACATAAAGGAGAATCACAAAGTCCAAGCCAATACAAGTATAAGGGCAAACAGTCATGGCTTGTAGTAAGGCAGAAAAGTGCCACAGCTGAACTTCTAGGAAAATCTGGGATCAGCTGTGACAGTGGAATGACAGGAAAATCTGGGATCCTCCAACAGTGAGGCCAATAGCTTACCTGCAAAGTCACACAGTGATCTCTGCTGTATTCTGGAGGCATACCTTCCTTTTATCAGGAGTTTGACTGAATGAAATAAGAGGTTTTTCATAGGTCTGTGGAGGACCCTTGCACCATGTTGGCCAAAAGATTGGCAGCCTCGTTCCAAGGAATCTTGCAGTGAGTTAGTTGGGGAAGTTAATAAGCGGCCGGCACTGTAAGTGTCTTACTTACAATAGCCAGCGTTGTTGTATTAAATACTGATTACTCTATCAAACACGGTCAGTAAAAGAGTTTTGTTATTGAAGACAATCCCTTACGCCCAAAGATATCATCGCTGTATAAGGTATTTCTCCCTCCTTCCTAGCTTGCCTTCGTGGTGTAGTGGTTCTGCACACTGGGCCGGTATTCCAGAGGCCCGTGGTTCGACTTCCGGCGAAGGCGATTGCTAATTTTTCATCTAAGCTGCTTCTAAAAAAATCCTAATGTCTCTACAGCTATACATTTCAAGGAGAAATGCAAGTATAAAATACACTAGTTATGTTTGGTTCACGGGAGGGATTATTTTCAGACTTTCACCTTGACCTATATAGATATTTTATTGCATCAGTCCAGTAAATTTGTCGATTTCAGATTAAGATCACTTGGCATCTACAGACTACACGGATGCATTAACTGTGAATATTCTCTGTTTAAGCTACAGTGTAATGTTGTTATTTTTCTAATTTTACAGTATAACACCTACTTACATCTTGTATGTTAAAATATAATGTTTAAGCATACTATTGCATGGCACAACCATCTTAATAAAATCGGCATCCTTCCATCTAGTATATGCCAAATTTGCAATTCGGGCATCATGGATGTAGAGCATCTTCTTATACGTCCAGAACTAGATAAATAGTTTCAGAAACGTGGCGAAATAAGCAAACTGTATCGGAATTCCAGAACTTTCACGAACTCCTTGTAAAGACTACATCTCTTATGTTCCTTTCCTTTGTTGTTTAAATTTTTAACTTTTTAATTTTGTTACCACATTCATTTGTTATGGTTCTTACTTTAAATGTTTGTTCTTTTCCATTATATATCATTGTTCTTGTGCGATAACTGAGCTATTTTATATGCTTGGATTGATCCTTCTAATAAAGCCATATGTAACAAAAACAACAAAACATAGTACATACTGCAACGATATGCATAGCATCATGTTCAAAATATTTTATTGTTAGTTTTCCTCAGCATTATTTTCTCCAAGTTCTTGTAAACTCAACATTAATTATGGGTCTTGTTTGTTGAGAAGGGAACAAAAATGCACGATTCGTCGTCCCAAGCATAGTTGAAGCGCTTAAATAAGATGATTTATTTCCTCAGTATTAGCTGATTTTATTCGAAATATGATATGGCTAGTAAACCAGATTGAAATTATAGAATGCAAAGTTTATTGGCAGCCTTCTATTTTTCAGTGGAAGTTTCACGTAGCTTTAAAAATCAACACAGAGAGTATAGTGAGCAGTCCACCGTCAAGTTACTGTTTGGTTTATTATTGTTTATATTAGCATATACACATTTGCATTAGCTATGGCACCAAAATAAGTGGAAAGTGATGAACCAAAATTGCAGAAGGTTACCGAGACACTAGGTTGAGTTGAATTAATGACGAAAAACTGGCGAAGATTTTCCCTAAAAAACTACATGCGTTCTGAAAATTGATAGTAAGTTGACAAATAGGTGGAAAATATTCATGAATAAAAGTAATTGCTTTTATTTATTAAAATTAAATAATTATTTAAAAAATATTCTTTCCATTTTTGGAATTTTCAAAAATAATTTTTAAGGTATATCTTTTACATTGACCTCGCAGAAACTTCGTATTTGCATTTTTACAAATCGTCAAGTCTTCTTACATCTCTGTATAACACAAAAGTGAAATCTGACATGATATAAGAAGTTCATGAATTAACCAATAGATTTTAGTGACAAATAATAATTGATTAGAAGAATATATCTAATTATACATATATCCGGGAGACCAAATATTTCTTTGACGTAAATATAAATTTTTTAAAACACTGCAGCATATTGTGGCAGGTGCATTATTCAAACTGATATTCAATCTCTCAACATTATTCCTCAGAATTTTGGCGTTATTTTTCTTATAACTTATGTAATTAGCGGCGGAGCAGTAAAGCCGCTGAACACTGGCAGTTCGGTCCAGTCTTTGAATCCCGCGAACGTGCTGGCTGCAAGGGCATTTTCGTGGTCTTCCCTCTATTTAATTCGTCTGTCTTCCCTCTGTGTGTGTAGCCAATTTCCCTTAGAAGTCCTCCAAGAAGGCATCCTCCTAATCAGATAACCCCGGAATGCTTTGCCATAATCAAACAAAACAAACTAAACCTTACGTAGTTTGTTAAATTCATTAATGTTACACATTTGCAAACCCCAAATTTCATTTTTATGGGCTACGGCTCATAAAGAACAGGTAATCAAACTGTGCGACTTTTTTTTAGCTTAAAGATTATTAGGCAGTCTAAAATGCTAAGAAAATGCACAAGGAGAGATTGAATATGAGCTGGCGATTTTGCCATAGAAATAGCACGTACTGAGATAATTCAAAATTCAGTACATATGTTAAAAAGGGGCTTGCGTTAATCTTTATATTAATTTGTAATACGTATACAGTCCAATATATTATTTAGATTAATTACTATTAATCACTAAAATGCATTCGTTAATTTACGACCCATCTATAATTAGAGGAAATCTTCCTGTTTAGTTACTAAAAATAAAATTTAAGTATACAATAGATTGAACCAATTACAAACAGTGGAAAAATAGCAAAGTAGAAAAATAGCAAAAGTACTACGTCTTCCAATAAAAAGCTCAAATACGCACTCTAAAGCATATGACAGGTCACGCAGATCGCCA